TCCTGTCATTTTGTTCTTAATCTACCCTTGCCCCCACAAGTCAAGAAAATAAAAGTCATACATCGACCCCATGGTAAACAAGATACCAAATCTTACGTTCTACTTGATCCCAAAATTGTATTCTGGCTTCTGTACGCCAAGAATCCCNTAGTTTTAGTCTCAATGTGGGGGAATCGGCGATACGACTTCAGAGAACTCATCGTGTCTCGTTTATCATACATTTGCACTTGAGAGCCTGCCAAGTCTTGGACTATTTCCATATCTAAAAAGTGCGCACTATGTCCTACTTGTTCCTGGGTCAACTCAATACTGTTAGGGATGAGATTGCCGTCTCCATCACTAATCAGTCGGTCATACATTCCTCCTAACGTTTCACTCATGCCTATGCCAAGTGGATCGTACGGAGTATCACCACTATATATGACATCCTTCAGTCTCAAACCATTGGCTTGTGAGGCCAAAGTGATAGTGATGATGTCATCAATATATCTCTTAGTCCTTACGCCATATTGTTCAATGAACACTCGAGGGTACATATAATGGGTACGACCACTATGTTGTGTTTCTCGGAACTCTGCAACCATCTCTTTATAAAACCTTAGTTCATGCATGTAAGCAAATATATGGGCGAAATCGGGTGCAGGTGAGGATCCCATAAATATGCCAGAAGACTGGCGATACATATGAGGTCCAAACTGAACATAACCTTCCGTCAAAACAAATTCACACCACTTGAAGAGTCGTTCGTTCCCAACAAGAAATGTCTTCTCCTTCGCGACTTCCAAATTAGCTGCACCCGGTTCCTCCGTTGACCAATGTACTTCTTTGATGATGAAAGGATAACTACTCTTGAAGCCATATTGTACATTAATTGAACGATATCCAGAATCACGAAATTGGAAGTCAAACACCAAATCAATGAATTATTTCAATTGAACTAAAAGAGTAGACAGAGGTATGCTAGTATACATGGCAACAAAGTCACATGTTTCCACAACATGTGGGGCAGAATCACCAGTCGAACGAACCATCTGGTCTGCTTCAGATAAAACCTCCAGGATTTCTTCTCCACCTTCAGTAATCCAACTACTGGGGGAATCAATTCCAATGGAGCTTCCAACTTCTCTCCACAATGCATCACAAACTGGCAGCATTTCAGCTAGACACGTATGCACTATTCTTTCCGCCCCTTCCGTAGTAGTAGCACAGCATGTGGTTATACTTCGACAAGCTACCTTATCCTTATGGAGTTTAGGCAGCAGATACCTAGTAGGTTGTTTATGGGTTTTCCTAGACTTGCGCCTATTCGTGTCCGGATTTCGAAAAAATTCCTTGGGGGCCGGTAGATGTTCATCATCCAGAAATTTAATTTGCCGATCGGTGATGGCTTCTTTCATTTCTTCAAATGTGCCTCCAGTCATCTTTTCATAACCCTCCCCATTCACTTCCGTTTCAGCTAGTCTAATATAGCAAGCCTTACACATTACACAAACACAATTTGCAGCTTTTTTTTTTGAAGCACCTTGAACGCTGTATGAGCGTCTCTGAAATTGATATGGCCAGTATGCGGGAGGTAGTAGTCTGGACCTTCTACAGTAGAATTCAATTGTTCAGCAACTTCATCCAACACTGCAGAAAGCTATTCCTGGACCACGTGAAATTGGGTTCCAGCGTCTTCGCATAAGTTAGACACGAGCTCCGTAAGTGCATGTTGAATATTGTCAAAAAGTGACAT